TGTGAAACTGAATTTTACTGTTGATGATATAACTGAATATCTAAAATTCAATTTCTAAGTAGCATTCTGTTTTTCTATTAATTAAAAAAACAACATCCGGGTGTCTTGCATGCAAAAGCTGTCAAATACTGAATCTCCCTATATGGAAAAAATTATTCCAAATGTATTTATCAAATATATTCTTGCAATGTATGAAAATGGCCAAAAATGAATTTGTAAATATATTTTTAATTGCTCCTATCTGTATTTGTTATATTTTTTCAATTGTATGTAGTTTTAAAAAGGGTACAGGTATAAATATACACAAACTGAATGAATGGTACTGACTTTTGCATTGTTTTGATTTCTTATGTATTAGCATGCATGTATGCAGTAAGACAGCGCTCATACAAAATGTATTTCAAATAAACAAGATATCAAGTCATAACTGCATTTTCACAGTGTATCAATACCTACAACACTTGCTTTTGCTATGTTAAAGGTTCATTTGCTAATACACTGCTCAAAAAAATAAGGGAACACTTCACACATTGGATGTCGATGAACAAAAGATTCAAGTTTAAAATCTTTATTGATATAAATTGTGTAATTTGTTGAGAGCAAAATGATGTAACAATGGTCAGTGGAAACCAAAATCATCGATCCATTGAGGGCTGGGCTCAAAGTCACACTGAAAATCAAAGTAAAAAATCAAAATCGCAGGCTAATCCAATTTGTGTGAATTTAAGCACGGCAACTCATAATGTGACTCAGTAGTGTGTATAACCCCCATGTGCCTGTATGCACTCCTGACAACATCTGGGCATGCTCTTGAAGAGATGGTGGATGGTGTCCTGGGGATCTCCTCCCTGACCTGCATCAGGGCATCAGTAAGCTCCTGGACAGTCTGTGGTGCTACTTGGCGGCCCAGAGGTTCTCAATTGGATTCAAGTCTGGGGAACCTGAGGGTCAGTCTATGGCATCAATGCCTTCGTCATGCAGGAACTGCCTACACACTCTGGCCACGTGAGGCCGGGAATTGTCCTGCACCAGGAGGAACCCAGGGCCCATTGCACCAGCATAGTTCTGACAATGGTTCGGTGGATTTCATCCCAGTACCTAACAGTAGTCAGGGTACCTTTAGCAATCACATGCAGGTTTGTGCGACCCTCCAAGAATATGCCTCCCCAGACCATCACTGACCCAAACCTGTTATGCTGGATAATGTTGCAGCCAGCATAGCATTCACCATGGCATCTCCAGACTCTTTCATGCCTGTCACATGTGCGTAGTGTGAACCTGCTCTCATCTGTGAAGAAAATGGGGCCGCCAATGGCAGACCTGCCAATTCTGGTTGTTCTCTGGCGAATGCCAGTCAAGCTGCACGGTGCTGAGCTGTGAGCACAGATCTCATGAGGGGACGTTGGGCCCTCATGCCACTCTCATGGAGTCTGTTTAACCCTTTGGTCAGAAGTACACGCACCAGTAGCCTGCTGCAAGTCATTTTGTAGGACTCTGGCAGTGCTCTTCCTGTTCCTCTTTGCACAAAGAAGCAGATACCAGTCCTTCTGCTGGGTTGATGTCCTTCTACGGCCCTGTCCAGCTCTCCTCATGTAATGGCTCATGTCCTGGTATCTCCTCCATGCTCTTGAGACTGTGCTGGGAGACACAGCAAACCTTCTTGCAACAGCACGTATGGATGTGCCATCCTGGAGGAGCTGGACAACCTGTGCAACTGGAATGGGCTGCAGCTACCACCTCATGCTACCAGTAGTGACAAGGACACTAGTAAAATGCAAAATTAGAGAACAATCAGTTTGGAAGGATCAGGAGAGGGCAACTGTCTGTGTCCACCACCTGCAAAACCATTCCTTTTTTGGGGGTTGTCTTGCTATTGCCACTCCAGTAAACCTGTTGTCTAATGCAGGTGAAATTGGTTCACAATTGCTTATGCTTCCTAACTGGACAGATTGATATACCTGAAGTTTAACTGACTTGATGTTATACTGTGATGATTAAGTATTTCCTTAATTTTTTTTTAAGCAGTGTATCTAAAATTAAGAAACTAGAATACAAAATCATTTCAAAAGGTATTCCATACAGTAAAGTGCATTACACAAGTATTTTGGCTATTTTCATACATTTTCAAATGTATTTTATAAATACATTTACATACATTTATTTTTTCTATGGTACATTTCTATGTGTAATATTTTCCCATACATTGTAAAATAAATGCATTTTAAAATTTGGTTAATATGGATATATATTTTGAAATATATTTTAGTGTTTGGAATGTATTTCAGCATGGATTGTAATGCATTTGAAATGTCCATATAAATATAAATATATATATATATATATATATATATATATATATATATATATATATATATATTTCCATATGGGTCTTCATCAGCAGGCAAAAACAGACAGTCTTTGGGGAGTCTGGCAGCTTCCTATTTCTCCTGATATGCCAAAAACATGCCTGCAAAATGTCAGCGGGTGCTCCCGTGTGAGTCCTAAAAGTACAAAAAGTTAAAAACAGAGTCAAAATAGTTCCTTATCACTTGCCTAGGACTTTCCTTTAATTCTGGAAAGCAGAAGGATGATCACTGAAATATCAAAGTAAGCTTACCTGTATGTTTCCTTCTTTCTACAGCGAACAGGTTTTGGGCAGTAGGACGCTAACATTACGGCTACTGAGTGCTGATTGATTAGCGTTACTGCTACTGACTGCTGATCGATTGGAGAGCAGAGCAGATCATTGGCTCTTTGTGCTCACTGACATCATAAATGTACATGAGGTGCCATTTCAAACTCCTATAACAAGTTCAAAAGCGCTTAAAAATATAACAGCACTGTTAAAATGTTTTATGCTTTTTTAATATGCTTATATCAGAGCATTTCTAAACTATGATTTTGAATGCTCCATGTTAACCCTTTCATTTTGGATTCACTCAGACCCAGGAGCACTCTCTAGCGTCTGACAAACCGAGAACCCATAACATTCACCTCTTTACAAATTCTCTTGCAATAATGCTCTTTTTATGACACAAGTGGCATGGAAGTGGCCATGTGATGTTTGTTTGTTTTTTTTGTTTTTTTTTGCACCAAATGCAAGTGTAAAACATAGCATGAATGTATTTTGTACATGCTTCTCTGTCAACTCCAGCAACCTCAGCAAATAATAGTGGTGGTCTTGTGGTGGTCCCTTTCCATTGATGGATAAGATGTGCTATTAAAAAGGTTAGCAACAGATGGGCTACAGTCAGTATAAAGGCAAGTGTACCTTTTATAGTACGGGTTTCTAATAAAATGTCCACTGAGTGGGGTAGGAGGGATTGGGGAAGGGATTCCACATTCAACTGCTTTTGCCTGCAAGTCACCTGAATGCTATTTTGAAAGTGAATCTGAAGATGTGAATTAATAGATGTTTTTTTTCTGTTCAAACATTATTGGGTGCGCGTGCAGCCAGGGTCCAAACCGCTTTTATAATAATATATAATAATGATTTGTAAGTCAGCCGGTCACAAGGTTGTAAGGTTAGTCAACAGTTGTAATCGACGTAGATTTTGCATTTTTTGTAAATATTTATTTTGACGCAATAATAAAATGCCATTTCAGAATTGAATCTGTTTGTTTGTCTTTAATTTGCAGATTAATATAACTTCATGTAAAACACTAACAATAGCTGACTATCAGTATTGGCTAGTCATCGAGTCTCTCTGAACACCCCACTAAGTTTGCTATTCCTTAAATGTTTAGCTTATAGCAGTTATCCAAATCACAAAACATCATAGCTCGCTAACCTGTCCTATGAATTTCACCCAACTTACCTAAATCTCTATGTCAGAAAATGATACCAGTATTAAAACTACAGTTCAGATGTCTTGATAGATTGCTCTCTTACAACCCTTAAAATTCAATTTCAATTCAGAATTCAATTTCAGATGGTATGATACACATTCAAAATAACATTCAAATTGGATTTTTGCATTTAAATTCAAATTTCTAATGGCATGTGTTGCTGACGACAGTCTTCATTCCAGTGAATGATTACATGTAATCTCTGTCCTAAGTAATGTAATATATGAATAGTACCAGTGTTGATTGTTTTGACCTTGCAAGATTAACTGGGGTCCAGTTAACCAACTCTTCCAGCTCACATCTCTAAATTTTACCCTACCACTGTAGTAGTACGAAATATCGCAAATAAAATTTTAAAACTTAGTAACATTAACCGAATAAATGAGCTTTTTAACTCGCTCACTCATGCCTAGCAGACCTTACTTAAGTATTATTGAAACTTTACTTTGTTTTTTTTTTCAAAATACTTGCCAATTACTTGCCAATAGACTAAATGAAATTATGTACATCTATGACAATTTGTCTTTGTGTGAGGATTAGTACCACTGCTTACTGTATCATACACCACTGACAAAAAAAACTTATAATTTATTTATCAAAACACAAATTTTTGCTGTCATGTTAGAAAAAAATGTGATTTTCTCTAAAGTTTTTGGCTCCAAACTTCCACTTTTACTTGAGGAAACTTTGCCATCTCTTTCAGTTAAGAATACTGTACTGTACTGAATCTTCTGTACTTTTTCTTCCCTGATTAAACATTTTAAGTTTTTTAAGAACTATAAGAAGTTATTAAATGATAAATAGTGCTGTAAATTGTTCTACTTATTTATCTTAATCTAGCCTAATGTAATTATTCTAATCTAGATTAATTATTTATTACTTATCTGCCAGAGATTTGATTACCACTTTTCAAATATGAGGCATTCTGAATATTAATTTGATTATAATACAAGTTTCAAGGCTGTACAGCTGTCTTGGTCATTATAGAATCTTTTATAACTCTGTTCATTCTTGACACAACAGTTTTTTAGCCAACATTTATTTTTACTAACAAACTATTTAAAACCTGTGCAGCTGCATCGTCAAATCATCAAATGTTGATTCCAAACATTTCAACCTTATTATACATGTATTTTTTCCCTCTTTTGCAGGGCAAGATGTTAGTGGCGTATTGGAGAGTGCGGCAGTGGACACCAGCATTCTTGAGCAATATCTGAGCAATGACGTTGACCCCACTTTGTGAGTTCTATCTACTGTTTCTTCCTACTGTTTCCATCAACACTAAGTGCGTTTGCATGCACTTAATAATTCAAGCACAATCACACTAAGGTCAAACTGGCTATGTTTACATGCAAAGATTTTTGCCAATTCAATTGAATACATTACAATTATAGAGGTGTTTATATGCTCACTCTACTCAACAATCTGATGGAAAATTTCTGTTTACATGCACACTACAAATAATCTGATTCAAAATTGTGCGCATGCATAGAGCACCACTTAGTGTAGACGGTACACTGACAAGGAGCATCACATGAGTCCAGTCAGCGTGAGACAAGCAGCAGCGAGTTACTTGAGTTTTCAGCTGGTGCGCTTATGCCTTTAATTACTTTAAAATGATGGCACACTCATGAAAACATACTTCACATGTTTTTATTATAGAAGAGGCAAGAGGAAGACATCATGTTCTGAAACACTGAAGCTGGACACCAGTCCCACCCTTGTCTTTTAAAGCTTAAAGCATTAACTTTGCCTCCCCTGCATACCAGTTTCTGGCTCCTGCCGTGTTGAACATTATAAACTTGCACTATAACGCAAACACGCTTGCGCAGAACGTACTTAAACTTTCCGATTGGGAATGTAATCTGATACGGGCGTCTACATGGCTACTATTCTTCTATTTAAGGGATTATTTACAGGATTACCCACCTCAGGTAGAAATTGTTTTCCGACTAGACTAGTTTGACTGAGGCCAGTATACTACTACTATTGCATATAATGTGCATGTTCAAATTCAGGTGAAATGTGGTAACCTTAGAATGATTTAATTAGTAATTAAATGGAATCATGGATTGCAAACTGGGGTTAATGTCAAGGTAATTTATTCTGGTTATGCAAGCCATCTTCTACATACATTTCTTTATTTCTTGACGCAGCAGTCCAGTCCGTAGAGTTCATAGTGGAAGTTTATAGTATGAGTTGGAAAGGCTCGACGAAGTGATTACTCAGGAGCCACAAACAAGGAACCCAAATGAAACGAGAAACACTCATCAGTGTTGGCAATTTTTTTTGCTGGGTGGACTATTATAGTGTACCATTTTTTTTATTGTTCTGTTGTATATGTATTGTGTGTTTGGTTCTTTAGTTTAAAGATTTTCTTTATTTCTTTAGTATGTTACCCGAATCACCTCCAGATTCAGGTTCAGAACCTTGTTCTCCTCCACAAATACCAGGTAATGTATGAAGCATAAACATTGGTTTTGAATGCAACTTTAATTTTTCTAACAGACTAAATGATACACAATACAGTACATATAGTAGTACATACTCCACATACACCACAGTACCAAACAAAAAGTTAAAGTACATTTGCTTTAAACTCGGTTGTTTCAGAAGTTTCTGTTTTGCAAAAAAAGATGCTCACACTAGTGCATCAATAATACTTGAAATATATAAAGAATGTTTAAAATAGATTTTTCATTCAACTGTCCGTATCCTACATCCTTTTTATATTTTATTTTTTCCTTTGAGGTCCACTTATCAAGCAATGATCCACTTGAGGCAGTGTGGACAATCATTGTACCATGTCTAAGGGTTGTTTTTTTTATTTTTTACATTAAGCACGATTAACAATAAACAGCATAATAATTATACCTATTTATAATGCACTTTACCATTGGAACAGCTCAAAATGGTTTACAGATTTTTAAATATATCATGTAATAACAGTAACTTTCTGTTACTGTAAAGAGTAACTTAATTTGTTACATTCAATTTGTTACACTTAGGTGTTACTTCTTCATAAAAAGCACTCAAAGCACAACAACATTACTTAAGGATTGATTTAACCATAGCTTTATAATGATTTTTAAAAAGGTGTTAACTGTAAATGTACATCATTTATAGTTACATAGTTATAAAACACATTTTAAAATTATGCTACACTTAAACACACTTCTCTTGTACAAGGGAATGCTTGAAAATGGAAATATATTACAATAAATAAAACAGACAGAAAATAGAAAGGGAATAAAAATAATATTCAAGAAAAACTTTTCACACAATTTCTCACAGTAGCCACCTTTTTACCTTCATAGCAGCTTCACAGACAGAGTTGTAGAGTACTAGTTGGTTGCTTTGAATTTTATCTCTGTAGCATTTTTTACCAAAAAAGCTTTAAAAAAAAATAAGTGAGCTGGAGACAAGAGATTCAATAATAACCCAAGGAAGCATGAGGAAGAAACACAGAGAGACTTTGGATTCCTATACCATTCATGTTCTATATTTTTTGTCCTAGGCAAGGCTGATTCTCTCTGAGCAGTGGAATCTTGGTAGTGATTATTCCAGCTCTATGCAGCGTCCTCTGATCAATTGATCTTGAAGCATTTTTACTTCTAGTAGGATTCACCTATACCTTTCTTTCAGTCAAGGCAGTCAAGCACCATGTTCAATCCCAAACACATTCAGTAATGTTGAGGTCTGGGCCCTCTGTTCTGAGAATACTAGCAGCTTATTTATGTAACTGAATTGTCTTATAGCCAAACTCCTCAGAAATATTTCCTGAGAAATAAATAACTTAAAGACTTTTCTATCTGGAAATTAAATAGATTAAGGGTGGTCTCTGACTTTTGCACAGGGCTTTATTTTTGCATAAGAAAGGACTCTTACTTGTTGATAATATTTTCAGAAGAATACATAGTGATGAAAACTCCTTTTTAAGCATTTGAACTCTATTTGACAATATACAGTATGGTCTGTGTTCACCGTTGAGACTGAATAAACTTCTGGCTCCACATGAAGCTTTGGTTCTCATAGTTTCTCATAATTAGTTGACGGTATTTATCATTCTGCCATTACCTTCTTTTTTCAGATGTACTCTTGGGTTCTGACCTGGATTGGTCTATTGCTGCTTCTTGCCGCCTCAAAGGAGGGCTACAGGAGCACTGTGGAGCTCCAGCACTTCCTCAAAACTATCACGGTAGTGCAATTAACCATGTAAAGTACAGCTCTCCTGCATTAGCTCAAGTTGTATGTGACTCTCACATACAATACATGAGCCTAGCTGAGGGCTATGTTCAAGTCAGCACTCCACCTACAGCACCAGTGCACAAGGCTGCCCAGGACAGCCAACATCCTCCCATAGGTGCTGTAGGGGGCAACACAGAAGCCAGCACCTCCACTGCTTCTCCATGCCTCTTGCCCCATACTGCATGCCTGAACCTATACATGGACCCCAAACCTGCCCTCAACACAGGGTGAGAAACGTTTCTACGCAGATTGCGTCGTTATGGTTGTAATTCTGTTGCCTTTTTGCTCACCCTCTAATGTCCTCATTGTCACCATTTGCTTTCACAGGAAAATCACGCCCGAAAGGAAGAGAAAGCGCTCAGACTCTTTTGAAGGGAACATAGGCCAGTGCCAGTGGGTTGACTCAGTTTGGACCAAACCTTCATTTCGTGAGTGTTAAACAAGCAGTGTCAGTGACTGCTGCTCACTGTTAATCCATCAGTTAATATGTAGGGTAATCTGGGGGGAAGAAGCCCCTGAGGGTAATATGTTCCCCCTACTTTTTTCTCTCCTGATGAAATTAAGGGGTCCAAATGTAATCTCTCATTTACTGAAAGGCTTTAGTCTAACTAATTATAAAATTGAATTTGAATGACAACATTTCTGGGATTTACTGCCTGAGATTTATTTCTTTATTTCTTCGTAAAAAAATGACATTGGAGAACAGTGATCTATGTATTTATATTATAAAATTGTTAAACATATTGAGTAAGCATTCAAGGTTTTGAGAAGGAAAAAAAGATTTTTTTTTGTCTCTTGAAGTGAAAGTGTAAACACAAGGCAAAATGTCCCTTTAGCATGTTGCAATATATATATATATATATATATATATATATATATATATACTATTTAGTTAGGTTTTTAGCATATAGACACAACGTTGATCACTTACTATCTAGCACTAGTGTTACCTTCTAGCTGTGGCAATTATTAGCTATAGTTAGACTTTTTGGCAATTTTAGCCATCTTAGCCATCATTTACACTTATTACACATTACAATTAATACTATTACAATTACAGTTAAATGTTGAATGCCATTGCTATGTTTAAACTGGTGGTGTTATTAATAATAAGAATAATAATCAGTTTACATAACATGAAAATATAATTAACATAATCACAATAACTATTTAATTTGTGAACAGAAGTCATAGCTTATTAAAATTAAGTGGAATCATTAAGACATGAATCAATAATGGCCAGTGGCTTAAAGTTTTAAAATATAATATTTTAGTCTTATACTTTCAGTAGCATGATTTATGAAAAATGCAAAGACAAAAAAAGATCTGACATGTAAAAATAACACATTCTATAATACGTGCATGATTTATTGATGCAAGATTCAACAGACGCCCCTTTTTTTGCAGGTACAGATATGGTTCAGCTGTTCTTAGGAGAGCATTTTCTCCAGTTTTCCACTAATAGAAACAGAGGATGAACCTAATTATTCTGAAGTTCTTCCTTGTGTCTATCTCTGCTTATAGTAAGCCTTGAGGATGGAACATGTGAGATGCCAAGTTACGATAGTGATGCCCATGGGGCGAGTCCAGTGATGGGGGCGTTCCAGCTACTGACATGGGACCGGTACCAGCCCAACCAGTGGAGCACCCTCTACAACAGCAGTTATCAATCACTGTAAGTTTTTACAGATATAACCACAAAAAACATTTCTTGAGGAGTCCCACAAGGTTCATTCTTAGAGCCTCTGCTTTTCTTTTTGTGTATGTTACCTCAAGTAATATCATGACAAAATATGATATCACTTTTCATAGCAATGCTGATGACATAATTATACATTTGCATTTCTTCTAAAAATCAAGACTGTCTTGACAGGCTTTCCAGTTGTGTGTCAGATATGTTTCAGTGGATGTCACAAAGTGTTCTACAACTAAATCAAGAAAATACACTGAAATACTGACCCTTGGTGCTAAAATTTTGGGAAAGCTTCTTTGTGAGAAACACACACACACACACACACACACACACACACACATTTTCTAAACTGCTTTATTTCTAAAACACAAACTTTATTTCTGTCTACAACACAGGGCTAGAACTTAAAATGTATGTAGTAAGTGTAACAAATTCATGCAGAAGTCCACATATTTCCATAGTTATAGATTTCTAGTAAACAAAAAATAATTTATGTATTATGTTATTAAGTATGCAGCAGAGAATGTTTCACAACAAAACATTGTTAGTTTTTAAAGTATGAGAATAAAATCAAACTTAACCCTAATTTCTTCTAACAGTGTTTGTCTGTCTGTAAAGCACTTTGTGCCGCCACCTGTATTATTATCACTATTATTAGCAGTAATAGTACTAGTATTACATGTCACTTTAGTTCAGATGTGAGCCTTCTTAACTCCCACACAGTAGGTGCATTCCAGTTGCGCTTGTAGTTCCCTACAAAGTGCACTGCACAGGGTATTCATACATATTAAGGGTGATTTCAAACCACAGGGAGTGAAAAAGTTCAATTGATTATGATACTTCGGGATGTGCATGACACTACAGGATGTGCCGAATGATGGTATTTATCAACTGCAGTTCCCTTAACTGACATCCAGTGCTTAAGTGTGTAGGAAAACAGTATTGCTTTAGGGACCGTGTGAAATGGAATTAAATAAAAGTTTTTTATGGTTTATCCTTACATACAGTTTAAATAGAATTTTTCCACTGTAATTTGTTTATATTTCCAAGCATGTTGGGTATTTTATATCTATTGCTACCCAGTTTGCTGCTGCATCAAAGACTCAACTGATCATCATGATGTGCCAGGGTACTCAGCTCCTTTTACAGCAATGACTTTTTTTTTTTAATTTGTAGTTTTTTGTAAATTAATAAAGTTAATAAAGTGCCAAACGGAATTGTATCATCTGCGAATAAAAGCAAGTACTATAACAATCAACACTACTAAAATTACTCATTTTAATCCATAACTCCATGTGAATTTTGGGCAAAATATCCTTTGTAAAGTTATCCAGTGTAAATATCTTAGCTTTTATTTATTTATAATTCAATATATTGTTCATTTTTTTGTGAAGGATAGAGTTTATATTTTTATCTTATTTTTTACTTTTAGTATTATATATATATATTGTCTATATAGTAACAAGTAACAAACTGTAAAAACCTTGTTAATTAACAAAGTTAACAAAGTTAATTACTTGGTTGGTAATTTCTCTTCTACTTTTTCTTGAGTGCCTTGATATCCGTTTGTTGTTGTAACACTGAGAATTTCCCCATTGTGGGACTAATAAAGGATTGTCTTATCTTAACTAACTGGACAGTAAAACTGGCTCCTCAAATGTTAAAAATGGTTCCTCAATTGTCCTCAATGTTTTCTTCCACTGTGGTCATGCAATTTGCAGTCCACCCCCAGGTTACCATGTGGACACCGATAAAGGTTTCATCTACTCAACAGTTGATGAAGCCTTTGTGTGCCAGAAAAAGAACCACTTTCAAGTCACAGTCCACATTGGGATGGTTGGAGACCCTAAATATGTTGAGACGCCAGCAGGTCCTATGCCTGTAGAAGGCTTCCAAGTGAATGTCTTTGGAGTGAAGGTTAGTGTATTCTGCATAAAACTGATGATAATTCTAAGGTCTGCACATGTTCTATGACTGACATTTTGACTTGTCCTTCAGCTTGAAGCCCAGAACCACCAAATCACCATAGAGCAGTCACAGTCTGACCGCAGCAAAAAACCTTTCCTGCCAGTTCAGTGAGTCTTCTAACTAAAAGTCTTCATCACCATGAATCGAGACCACCTATGAAGTACATTTGAAGTGCCTGTATTTACTCTGACATCTTTTTCAGTGTGAATTTGCCAGGAAACAAAATTACCAAGATTACACTTGGTCGATTACACTTCAGTGAGACCACTGCCAATAACATGAGGAAGAAAGGCAAGCCCAATCCTGACCAGAGGTGAGTACCCATTAACAGTCAGATATGCTGTGAAAAAGAAGCACTTACTCACTTACTAAGAATCGAGAAAAATGTTATACTCATTTCTTTGTATGCTGGCTTTGTAATAGATATGGAATATAAACTGAAAGAGATTGGGAATCTACAAATTTGTATTCTTATACATGTTTGAACACTTATAGTGTTATACTATTATACAATTTAGCTGTACAACATGAACTGAATACATCTAGGAGCAGATTTGCCAACATTTTGCACTGACATGAATCCCATTTTGACATTAAAAAAGTAAATTCATTAAATAGACGTAACCACACATGATAAGATCAAAGGGGTGCAAAATGCTGGCAGTAGATTGTAATGAAGCACTTACTCTGATTTGCCAACACATCACATTATTTCTAATTTGATGAAGGAAATAAAAAACCTAAAATCAATCACTTTTAGAAAAGCAATGGCTAATACTAATATATTGACATACACATAGATTTTCCAAACTATTGTTTAAAGCGCATATTGAAACTTTGAAAATTTGGCTTGGCAGTCATGCCTTGCCAAAGACACTGTGTTATTCAGGCACATTGAGGCAGAAATGTCTTTCATCCTCTACACGTAGTTAAGAGGTTATGCCAAAAATCATACAGTTTCCAAATGACCTGGATGTGCTCAGTGAAATTAAACAGGGATTTTACAACATCACACGGTTTCCAAATGCACTTAGCGTGGAACTTTAAAGCTTAGCTCACATGTGTTTCAAACAGAAAGTAAAAAAAAAATTATTGGTTGGAATATCTGACATATTGTGTCAGAATAATGTTTTATTTTCTCAAAATTATTACTTATGATGTTGAACTAATCATGTACTTCCTTGACTAGTAATAACTCATTTTTTGAGTTAGTCATAAGAAAAATCTTAAGAAAATAAGTCAATATCTCAAGCTAATGAGTCACAGTTTAAACCTAAAACAGAAGGTTGAAAAACTTTTTTTCCCTCTCTTACCCAAGGCAAACAAGCTTTCATGCATCAAAAAGCATGCGAGCAAAACAGTGGGTTATATTATGCTGATCATATGTTAGTGTCGGCAGACTGTCAGTAATTAGCTAGCATCCAACTCTGACAGAACACATCTGATCCAGATCAACAGTTCAATTAATTAGCTGGATCAGGGAGTTAGATTTGGGCTGGAGATTTTCAGGAGCAGGCACTAGTCTAAACACTGCAGGTGAAAGATTAAAGCTTGTGGTGACTGTGAAGACTGTAATGCTTCCTGTTTGTCAGGTACTTTCTAATGGTTGTGGGGCTTTACGTGACTGTCAAAGAAAAGAGTTACCTGCTGGTTGCAAACATATCTGAGAGAATCATTGTCAGGGTAAGTCTCGACTCGTCCTACAAATGAATTGTCATACAAATGAATCCAAAAACTTGGAGTCTCAAGATAGAATCACTTGCTCTAGTTTAGAGATAGCACACATGTAACACGTGATTTGGCGAAATCTAATCTCTTGTATAAATCATCTCCACTCAGTGTGCTATATTCTGGGAGTGAAAATATCATTAATTTGATTAATTGAATTTGAATGAATCAGCGATTACACCCTCTGTCTTTATAAGGCCTCCAATCCGGGGCAGTTTGAGAATGACAGTGAGGTGCTCTGGCAGAAAGGACAGACGTCAGACTCTGCGGTGTGTCAAGGAAGGGTTGGAATCAACACAGACACCCCAGATGAGGCACTTGTGGTTTGCGGGAATGCCAAAATAATGGGCACAGTCATGCACCCTTCAGACAGGAGAGCCAAAGAGAATATTCAAGAGGTGAGAGTCTCAGATTCCACACTGTGTGGTTTTCCACTTAGTAATAGATTTAACAAGGTAAGCATTAAGTGGGCCATGATGACACTTGGTGTGGATATAAAAATAATTTGTAGACACCAGTGAATATGGTGGTATTTGTCAGTGACATCTGCAAGAAAAGACTCACAAGGTTAATCATTATGCCACTTTGCAGTGAGCAGAAAGAATTTGGATACATCAATATTATTTAGGGTTCTGATGCTTTCCCAGGTGGACCCAACAGAACAGCTGAAAAGAATAGCTCAGATGAGGATCGTGGAGTATGACTACAAACCAGAGTTTGCATCAAAAATGGGAATTGAGCAGGTGCACGAAACAGGTGTGTAATGAACAAAAGATTTAAGATTATGCTTTCTTTGGACTTAATTGGATGTTTAGCGGTATGATTGAATACTCAAAGGCACATTTCAGTCTGATCGTGACTGTGACACGACTGTGACATGCTTCATACTACTTCCCAAGGGAGTCACAGATGCCTAGTGGTCATGTTCAATGCAAGTTCTAAAGTAAAATGCAAATGCATATGAGCTAGAGGACTGTCTAATCATGGCTGATCACACATGAATATTTGTTCATTACCAGCCCTCAATGAGAACAGTAGTACTGTGTGTTTTATGCAGGCATGGACATTGTTTAAAAATATTTATCTTAGCAGTGTGGGTGTTTTTACCAGTTAAACCACTATGGGCTGGTTTCCTGGACAAGGAATAAGCCTAGTCTAATAATTTCCTTTCAGTGGAAAATCTCTACAGGGCTTCATCCCTGTCCAGGATGCCAGTCCAACATTAAAATAAATGCAAATAAACACAAATGCAGTAAAATGTAACAAGAATTGAGTTTTTTTAAAAGTTCTTAATATATTGGTTAGAAGAATGCAGTTAGAAGGTTTGGTTCCTGACTACTCTCTGTTCTCCAGTCATTGCATAGATTTGTTAAATTCATCAGCAACACACCTGATTTAATTAATGAAGGAATGATTAGCTGAGCTGGGTATTGGATGATGATTGTAAATACTGAGCTTTCTCAAGGACAAGTTGGAAAATGGTTAAGCAAAGATACATGCATAAAATCAGAATATATTTTTTATCAGATTATATTTGTTTCTGCAGTAGTCTCAATCATGAACAATACTCTACAATTGATCTAGGACAATACACTTGATTGCCAGTATATTAGTTCTTTAGGTACACGCCCTACCTTTACACAAATTCTACATTCAAATGAGATAATATGTCACTTAACAAATCAGGCAGAACACTCTTTTTTGGCTAGTGTTCAACTGGGCAGTAGAAAGGGCAAAATGAGTGACTTTGAATGTGGCATGAAACTTGATGTTAGGTGTGCCGGTTCTATCATTTTCCAAGTGGCTGTTGTCATGGGCTTTTCACTCACGCAGTTCAAAAGTTTAATGAAAATGATGTACACTTGGATGGACACTTCCAGTATAATACATCATTTCGCAAGACAAGTATTGTCACTTGATTCCACAGGCAAGCAACTTCTAATTGCTTGAGTATCTCTGGGAAGAGGTGGTAGGGGCTGTTTGCAGCTAGTCTGTGGAGCTGTCCAATTTGCAGCAATTGTGCAACACAGTAATTTCCACATTGTACAAGATTTCACAACACATCCAGTAGGATTTCTGCCTAAATTAATCATGTTGTTTTAATGGCCAAAGGATGCACAACATACAGCTAAATGCCAATATGCCTAATAAACTGGTAACTCAGTGTACTATTAGACATGACTGTTAACAAAAGCTTTTTCTATCTGGGTTCAGGCATCATTGCCCAGGAGGTGAGGGAGCTGCTTCCCACAGCAGTGAGAGAGGTAGGGGATATCACCTGCTCAGACGGACAGAAAATCCAAAACTTCCTTATGGTCGATAAAGTAAGTAGCAGACACGCAGAAGCAGCTCTTATTTCTTTCATTAAATGGAACCAACTGTATCTGATCAGCACCTTAAGCTCCCATTCATTCTTACAACAGGAGCAGATCTTTATGGAGAATGTGGGGGCTGTGAAGCAGCTTTGCAAACTCACGGACAACTTGGAAACACGTATTCAGGAGCTGGAGGTGTGGAACACTCGCCTGGCCAAGCTGAAGAACCTGGGGAGCATGCGTGCCAAAAGTGCGAAAAGTGCCAATGCTGATAAAGGGTGAGTATACGACAAATAGATGCAGCATTAGGCCAGATAGCTCTGGAGTTAGGAAACACTTTTCTAATCAATGACCCAATGACATATTTTGCTATATTTCACCACCACTTTCTGTGATCAATACACTTGCAGTGTCAGAGATACAGTGAGGGGAAACAAGTATTCAGACGCTTATTGTTGTTATTTAATTATTTAAGACCTCCAGTACATAGATTACACTTGATACACTTTAAATTTACATCATGTCATTTGACTTTGTGTTTATAAATATGAACAAAAATGAGTATGAATTCATAAGCTTAAATAAATGTATGTTTTAAAAAAACTTGAAATTCTAGGGAAAAAAGTATTTAGACACTACAGATTAATAATATTAGTACCTTGTTGCAAGGCTATTGTTGGCATTTACAGCTTCACAATGTTTACAGTAAGAAGTAAATTAGGTGTTTGCAGTATTCAGGCTCCTTTACTTTCAACATAATTTTTTTTACAGTAGGTGTAATTGCACACACTTTTTTGCAGCATTAATAATTAAAATGATTTATTTTTATGTGTCTTTCATGTAGCTTGTAGTGTTTCACATTCACATACACACCTTCCAATGATGTAGTGTCTGTGTTTACATCTGTGTTACAGGAAAAGCACAAAAAGCAACAAAACTCAAACATCAGTGCCCCCCAAAAAGCCATCTACACTAAAGGTAGGCAAAGTATGTAAAGAAAAAAACTTCTACTGTTCTAGAACTTTACATGACAACATGCCCTTGTTAACCAAAAGCCAACTCTGAAAACATAATGTTTCTGTATCAGGAGTATGTATGCGAGAAATATCAGTACTGCCTTCAGCACAGAATATTCCAAGCTAGTATCATTCTGCTTGTGACAACTATGGCTTTTTGGTGAGTCTTTTCTCTTTAGAATTTATGAACTTATTCACATGATGCATTGACCATACAGCAGCATTTCATCCATCTTAAGACCAAACATTCCAGTAGGAAATGTCTTGGAGATTCGACTGATAGTGTATATTAAATTGGTTTTATCAGATTGGGACGTTTGTTGCGCATTGACATTGTCATTTGTGCTGGATTTTCTAAAGTTTTGAAAAATGTATGGTTTTGTTTCAGTGCCATCTGCATCACTGCACTGTACATGCTTACATTAAGTGAAGACTCAGAAGAAAATTATGGCTCCAGGTATACTGCAGTCTTGATAAACACCCTTAGTCTATCTATCTATTCAGTCTTGTCCATACAAAATACCAACACTGCCATTTCTGTATAAATTCTGCATAGTCTCGAGCCACTTTGGTTCAATTTGCATTAAGACTTATAGCATATAGTACATACCACACTTCGTACTTGGAAGGACATGAATAATCATCTGTATGACTTCCTCTCTGTGCATTTCCAATAGCACAAGTAACTCCAGTACGTTTCCTGTCCACACTACCACAGAGACATTGACTACAGGTATGCAAATTCTGTTCCATCTAAATGTCTCATATTCGGCACCACTTGTTTAAAAACAGCAAATGAATAAACTGATTTGTATTCAAAATACCATAACGTCCTTCTCAAAATGATGATGATTAATCATCACAATGGCACTGTGTATCCAAGATATGATACAGCAACCAGGAGATTAAATGGAAGTTTATTTATCTGTTTCTCACATGCCAATAATAACAACAAAACTCTTAAAACAGCCAGTTTAAAGTGATAGCTTTGCAAAAAGTCTCATTCAAATTGTAGCCCAAATGTAGTCTATCAACCAAGATATGTGGTGTCTAAAATTTGCGTCTTTAGTTTTGTGCTAGGCTATGAGGCTAATGTAGCTAACATGTAATGGAAACTCACCAATTAGCATTGTTCAAACTGAATGCTTATGTGATTTCTGACACTGTATGACTGCTATATCTATAATGGACAAAGGTGCTTTGCACAGCTAAAAACTTGCAGCCTTCCGGAAGCCTGTTTTTTTCCCCAATTTTTAGACAACGGTATGCCATACAGTGTCAGAATAAACATATGTAAGCCTATATAAGATTTCTTAACAACTACCCTACTGAAAAAAAAAAACACCTTAAACCAGAATGCTGGTCTGGAGCTGGTTTAGCTGGCATTTATTTCTGTAGGGTTATAATTGCAGTAAAATGAATGAATTAATGAATAACAAGTCAGTTTTTAAGGCAGTTATTTGATCCAGATATGGTTCCGTTATTAGCCCTAATGCTAATTGGTACCTACGAGCTTTCATTACTTGGCAGCTACATTAGTCTTGAGTTTAAAACTACTGTAAAACTAAAGAAGCAAAAATTGTATTCCGGGTATGTTTTGGCTAATCCACTACATTTGCGACAAGTAGGGAAAATTGGTTACATATTGATGTACATTCTGTTGACATATTGACCTGAATTATTATCGCACTGACAGTGTTTTCCACAGCCACAGCTGGCCCTTGGCCTCCAGATGTGGATTTCTCCAGTGTGTTCTACTCCGAGGACATTTACTGCTGCCACTTTGCAACTGTTAGCTATCATGTTTCAGTGAAGACGAGCCCAACTGTTGATACAAGCTCTCTAAATCCACCTTCAGATGCCAGACACAGAACCCTAAAAGGTCTGGGCGAACAGCTTTATATTAAATATAGTGACATTCTTTTTATTTTTTTAATGTTAACTAACTTTGTGTGTTTTTTTTAGATAACACATGGGAAATACAGCTCCGACATTTCAGTGACTGTAAGTTGTACAAGTCACATGAAAAACATGATGCAATAGGTTGCAGTATTTAACTGCAGATGCTAGTGTATGTAATTCATTGCAGTGTAACTTGCATTTGACAATGTTTCTTTCATACCTAGGCTTATGTTTATGCTTCTTCTCCTGCAGGGACAAACACAACCATTCAGTCAATCCTTATCACACAAAATCAGCAGGTTATAGACAAGTATTACATAGACCAGGATAACTCAGGGTAGGTGCAGCATGGTTTATCATCATCTTTAGTGCTGTTTCCCTCATGTAATAGATGGCCTGTAGTGATACATCCTAACCAGTATTGCCTCTGTTTTGCAGGAAAGGGAACTACAGCTATCTGATCCCCATGAGTAAACATATTCCCATTAACATGCCAGTCACCTTGCAGATGAAGTAAGTAAACTTACTAAAAATCATGAATACATGCATGATGTTTTACTGCAATAAGACAGTGAAAACAGCGTGAAGGGGTGTCCACAGCCTATTCAGGGACAAGTTCTTTTAAAATGTTTTTAAGAAATGACCATGTTTTTTCAGCTATCTGCTATAAATGAACATTAAATACAAAGCTTATTACAAACGTTTTAACGAAACCTTTTTAACCAAAAACCTAGGAAATACCTAGGTTCCTATACCTAGGAAAGTACTTTGAAGTGCTGCAACATCAAATATCAAATATCTAATAAAATCAAAGCGTTAGTAAATAGCTATTTTATGTTACCTTTTTTTTCTTACTTAATTAAAGAGTGAACATCTCAGAACAGTGAAGATTACTCAGAACATTTCAAAAGATAGTGTTCCTAAAGTGCGCCCAGACATCTAACAACCACTATAGCTGAACATGGCTGTTCAACCATAACCAACAGAACTTTTCTACAGCTAGATGTCACACACAGTATCATGCAATGCAATTACTATAGATCTGCACCATTTAGACAAGTATGTAGTTACGCTTTGTGATCACTGGGTGTCTCTATGAGCAGCACAACTGAGCTGTTGGTGGTCCACTTGTGTGGGTACGACCTGAGGGAGGAGTGTGCCAAATTACTCGACTACAGCTACTCTGAATTCTACACTGTTCCCAACACACAGGTGACACTTTCTTAAAATCATCATATCTGATGCAATTAATGAGCTGATTTATAAGCACTCGCTGAGTTGAAATGGCTGTATTAGAGTAGGGAAACACAGTAGGGGCACAGATCCTAGGCCACTTTCAGATGTTAAATAATCACATTTTGACTTTTATTTGTTGTATTATATTACAGTATATACTGATCAGGCATAACATTCTGACTGCCTCCTTGTTTCTACGCTCATTGTCCATTTTATCAGCTCTACTTACTATATAGGTGCACTTTGTAGTTCTACAGTTACAGACTGTTTCTCTGTGTACTTTGTTAGCCCCCTTTTACCCTGTTCTTCAGTGGTCAGGACCCCCATGGACCCTCACAGAGCAGGTACTATTTGGGTGGTGGATCATTCTCAGCACTGCATTAACACTGACATGGTGGTGGTGCTATGAGTGGATCAGACACAGCAGTGCTGCTGGAGTTTTTAAACATCTCAGTGTCACTGCTGGACTGAGAATAGTCCACCAACCAAAAACATCCAGCCAACAGCGTCCTGTGACCACTGATGAAGGACTAGAGGATGACCAACACAAACTGTGCAGCAGCAGATGAGCTATCGTCTCTGACTTTATGTCTACAAATGTTTAAAAACTACACCAGCACTGCTGTGTCTGATCCACTCATACCAGCGCAACACACACTAACACATCACCACCACCACATCAATGTGACTGCAGTGCTGAGAATGATCCACCACCCAAATAGTCCCTGCTCTGTGAGGGTTCATGGAGGTCCTGACCACTGAAGAACAGGGTAAAAGGGGGCTAACAAAGTATGCAGAGAAACAGATGGACTACAGTCTGTAACTGTAGAACTACAAAGTGCACCTATATAGTAAGTGGAGCTGATAAAATGGACAATGAGCATAGAAACAAGGAGGTGATCATTATGTTATGCATGATCGGTGTATGTTGTACATTCAGACACCTCCTCTGATGAATGAATTCAGCTACTTTAAGTTTCACCCATTGCTGACACAAGTAATGGAGGTTTATAAAACTTCCTAGCATTGGGAAACTGTTGTCTGGAGTGATGGAGTACCATCCAATACTTTTGGGATAAGTTAGAGTGATCCAAAACTAATCATCAGACATCAGTATCTGACCTCGCTAATGCTCTTGTGGCTGAATGTAATCAAATCCTCACGGGAGTGTTCCAACATATCTAGTGTAAAGCCTTCCCAGAAGAGTAGAGGCTGTTACTCCGGGGCAAAGGGGGAGAAAACTCCCTATTGGTACCTTTTAATTTTGGAAAAAATGTTGGATGAGTACATGTCTACACTCTGAGATGTATAGTGTATTATCATGCTTAAATTACATTAAATTAATATATTGCAGAACACAGTAGTTCACTTCTAAGCACTGTTAGTAATTTGGTCTGTTTTACAGGGATATGTACATGAGTGGCCACTGCCAGTTTCTCGACATTACCGGTCATCTTACCACTTCCGTGCCTCAGTAGCAGTAAGGGCTTTTTTTTTTTAAAAAACTTTCTTTTCTATCTTTTCATTCCGGTCTAGCTCTAATATCTTAACGCTTTACACTCTACAAGTAATGTGAGTCATATGTGGGTCACGCCTCAGTTTCTTACTCTAATAACTAAGTAGCTTACATATTCATTTGACTGTAGGTACTAGGGTGAGCAATACATTGCTTGCTGATATATCATTTGCCAATAAATGCTAAAACTTAATATTGGAATTACAGTTGATAACTGCAACTAATAATTTAGTGGCTAATATTTAGCTCATGCACACACTAGTGCTGTCCAAGACTCTTAATGTTACATTCACCTACCATCTGCTAAATACTGTTAAATATTTACATGACAGAATGTATAAGTTACAGGAAGTCCATGAAAAATTGTGTGATTTACTTGTATTATGGCTGTAAGTTTTAAAGATGAATTCCACCAATGTTTCAAAATTTCTACACAATTCATTGGGTGAGATATGAACAAAAAAATTTAAAGTGGTTTGATGCCAAATGGTTCATTGTACTTACAGCCATTTTATTTACGATTCAGAACAACCAGTGAACCTACATATGTCTTCTGAGTTTTTATATGAAATGTTAATATGATAAATTTTTTCTTTTCTTATATTCCTAGCATGCACTGAATAATTCATAGTAGTTACTGAGCATTCTTAAGATTCATGACGAAGTAATAAACCTCCTGGATTATGCTCTGGAATGTAAATTATGCTGAAGACATTTTTTCTGCATTTCAGGGTCAGGCTGACTGTAATACAGACCCTAACTATGTGGAAATACTGTTTACGGACTACCACTTTCATTTCTACCGCCGCTGCCAGTGATGTGGAAGGATCTCATGGTATCTCTGACCTAGAGAAAAGCAGAATGAACTGATACCAACTACTAAGGCAGAAAATAACAGCTTCTGAAATTAAATATGATGTACAATGGTGTGTGTGTGGCTTACTGTGGCTTAAAAGACCTTTTTTCTTCCTGATCTGAAAAATGTTGTATAGAGGTAATCATTTACATTAAAATAAAAAGTCTATATTCTATCTTGGTTATACCAAATATATTGATGTAGTTTTGATACAGCTGTTTGTTGTGTTGCATATGTGTTGTTGGATATATTCAAATTTAATACTTTTTTGTCAATCAGCTTGAGATCGGAGTAAAAACATTGATTTTAGTTATTTTTTCCACAAACCTTTTTATTTTTCATAAACACTTGACTGCCAGAAAACATAATTTGACTCTAGACCTTTTTGATATTTTTCTGTATTAAATTGCATACATTTCATACTGTTAACACTGTATGAGCTCTTTTATGCCCAAAGTGGTTTAATCAGTTATGTAAGCTGTTTCATTAATTAAAAAATAAAGAAGATACACAATAATCTGTGATCAAGAAAGATCTCTGTTTTTTCTGAAACATAGTAAACAGATTAATATTATTATGTATGAACATACAGATTATATACACACAAACTCAACAACTCCACAATTGGATATTAAACACATTGCTCTATGATAGTTCTGTGTTAAGGTTTTGGCCTAAAAGGCATTTTTTCAATACACTAATGGTGGAGAGGTTTATGTATAAAACTAAAGAGACACATGTGGGTTCACTGCTACTCAATAGTAAATTAAAATGCAATAGTAAATATTGTGGCCCCTGGTTGCTGTCACCACTTACACAAGGATGTCTCTTGTGGTTTGTGTAGGTCACACCCTTTCTTTTTTAGCACACCTAAGGTTTCAAAGATGGTGTCCGAAGCTCAGTTGAGAAGAGTGGACTATATCTAGCTCGTTATGTTGCTCTCTGCTTGTCTCACAAATCTTTCCTCCACATAATTTGAGTCCTCTATTCAAAGGGGATGCTTACTGATGTTTCTACATTTCTGAATAATTACATCATTAAAACGTAAACAAAGTCATTCAGAGTGGTTTGGTATGAAATGCTCAGCTCTATAGAAACTTGGAAGACAGTATAGGTTCACTGGTTGCGGATAATGGCTGTATTTGTGTTGTAGACATTGTAAACCCATGGTTCCTATCACCACTATCATAAAGAAATCAGTAAACTTATAAAGAATCATAACATTTTTGTACCATTTCACAACAAACCACTACTAATAACTTTGTTTACAGCTCTAAGCAGAAACTTCAGAAAATTTAGTGTTTATTTCTTACGCTCTTAAGAAGTTGTCCTCAGCTTGCTCATTAAAGTCTCAATCCGATGACAAGTTAACACATATCCTACAGAGAACAGACAAGGAATTTTCTGCTAATTCAAGTGTACAGTTTCAGTTTGTTTGCTATGTTTTATATACTGGAAAAAAATAAAATATAAAATGTGTCAACTTTTGCACGTCACATTTATATATTTTTTTCAAGATGTTTAATTCAGCAAAAAACAGTACTTGTGCATTAAAATGTGCAGAAATGTGTTTCCTGTAAAGAATGTATTAACCTATATTCACTTAGAAAATAAATAAAACATAATTTGAACAGGGCACCCAAACTTTTGCATGTGACTACAAATTTGTTAAGTCACATTTTCATCAATTGTTATAATTTTCCTATACACTTTGTATCTCTATTGGCCATTTTCTCAGGTACACCTACCACTTTGGTTTACTGTTGAATGCTGTATACACTCGTACCAGCATAACACATGCTAACATGCAGGTACCAGGTCATTGTAACTGCTGTCCACCACTCAAATAACATCTGATCAGCAGTGGTTCTATGGTGGTCCTTTTCCATTGAAGAACGGGGTAGAGTGGGTTGCAGCAACAGATGGGCTATAGTCCATCATTGCACACCTACACTGTTAAAAATAAAGGTTCTGTGCAGGTACATTTTTTGTTCATCAATGTAAAAACAATGTAATTGTACCTTCAAAGGTACAACAGTGGTTTTAAGGTCCAACTGTGAACATTAAATAAGTTTTTCCCAGTGGAGAAAGTACATATTTGTACCTTTTCATAACCATAATGTTTTAAAACAGAACAATAAAATAAAAAGCCTGGAGACGAGACAGGGTGTGTGAAGTCAATACAACCTAGAAAATATAATTCCAATGGATTATGGTACAATTATATTCCCTGACTAAAGGTACTGAGATGTATCCTTGAGGGTACCACCCCAGTGACAGTTTAGTACCTTTATTTCAGAGAGTGTACAAGGTGCACCTATTTGGAAGGTGTTATATCAGGTGGCTTATAAAATAGCCAGTGAATCTAGGTACAAGGTAGGTGAACCTGGCTAGGCACTGTACTGCCTTGCTGGGTCAATCAACACCTGACCAAAGTGACTGACACCAAGCAAGATGGCTCCTGACAACCAAAACATGGAGGCACACGACACACTCATGAGCACACACTCTTATGACTTATTCAAGTGCAAACACTACATCGCTCACAGATACTAATTGCATGTGAGGACAGACAGCAGGAAACTTGAAGTCATGGAAGGAGAAACCATAGAAGTGCTGCATTATTGAAGAACAACGGTGACTGAAAAAGAGTGGCTGCACTCCAGTGAGGAGGAGTGCTCCTACCTGGGTGAGGCATCCCAGAGACTCTCTACACTTCACACACCAGCAGGCCAAGAACGATGGACACACAGAATCAGGCAAGTACCTTTTCGGAGTTATCAGATAGGCTGAGCAGTTATTAAAGAGGAATTGTTAAAAATTTCTGCATAAGATGTAAACAAAGTCATTCAGACATAGACTCTGAAGATATGAGTAGGTTTACTGGTGGTTTTGTATAGTAAATAAAATGACTGTATTTGTGTTGTCAACCCAATGACCTCTGGTTGCCATCACCACCACTGTAAAGAACTTTCACTGTAAAGAGTTGGCAAGTTTCTCTACAATGAACCATTTCACACTGAAACACTCTGAATGGCTTTGTTTTCATCTCACCAACTTAGTTATGCAGAACTTTTGAGTGGTTTTAAGTGAAAAACAAGGAAAAACAATGTCTGCATTTCTTTCATTTAATCTTTTAATTGAAGCAGCTTGAGCTGGAGCAACAGCTGCTAGAATGAATTTGACTCCTCGAGGCCAAATAGGCTAATTTCTTAATGTTTAATGAAGCCAGTAATGACCATATATTACAACAGAAAAGCAACAAAGCACAAAAGAGATTAAGAAGAAAGACCACTTATCTTTAAACCTGCAGCCCCTTGAAAATGTCATTACTGTGAAACCAATATCGTTTTCTCTCCAGCAGATGAAGCTATTCATACTAGCCAGCGTGAGTCATTCAGCATTGCCAAGGCAGGTCACTCTAGATCCAACAGAAACTCAAATGTATCGTTTTACAAAAATGATCCTTATATTTCCCTAGCTGGACCAAGAACAAGACGCGACAGTGGCTTTCCGGCAGTGTTTTGCTTCAAGTCATTCTTTTATAAGACAGTAGACTTATCAAACATTAAAATTCAGAGTCATTACGCTTTGCAAAATGATTACATTTTTGTGCTTTAAAACAGTGATGCTGCTAAATGCAGTAATCTATGTTTGAAATCGCTACCAAAAGAGTGATATCGTTCAGCATCTGTGAATCAAAGGCAACAAGAAGTATTCATCTGAAACTTTCTCGGAACATGTGTGTGACTGAGGGCTGTTACTGAACAGGAGGCTGAGGTAAGTAAGCTGCACTCAGCTGCACTAGAACTCGTATCAGATTCCCTGGTGGTAGCGCTCATCAGAGAGCCGGCTTGATTACAGCTGACACGGTTGACAGAAAAAAATAAAAACACGCAGGCCTCTGCAGTGAGAATATTCTAGTGAATTGAGTCTTACAAACAGGAACAGTATGCTAGGCCCCTCGGCAGACGTTGCTGAAGTCTGGATTAACAAAAAAAGAAAAAATAAATAAACAAAACAACATCATTGCGCGCACAGGGCGTTTTACCACAGACACAGTTACAATGCAGCATTACAGAAATCTAAGCCCAGATTTCAGGCCTGAATGGAAACACGGCCACAGTTCCTCTTAGGCCTTCAAAACACGTGGGAATCTCCGTGTTAATACCTAAAGTATAATTTCGTGTTACAAGTAAGTATTTAGCGTGTTAGAATGCCAAATATTTGCGTGTTAACACGTTAAGTGACACGGATTGTGTTGCTGTTGGGATACCTTTGTGAACTATGGTGTTTTACCGCCGCCTACTGGTGGGGCGTTATTGCTCAAACAACATACAGAACCACCAGTGATGGAAAATTCCCATTTTGAAATTATTTTAAAATACATTCTGAACAACGTCTTTTGGAAGAGATTCTACATAAGAATAAATAAATTGTATTGCTGAACAGTTTAAAGCTTAATAATTATATGTATAGTACATTAGCAACATTAAACGCAGTATGGTTGTTTGAAATGAGCCAAAATAATTATTTGATTAAAATCTCTGCTGAAAAAAACTTTGAAGCTCTTGAGATTTTTTGTTGGCTCCTGCTAGTTTTGTAATGTGTTTTGGCTTTACTTGATAGGTTAATATTACAGTCAAAAGGATCCTAATTGTTGAACAGGTGACCTGGGACTGATTCCAGATGCCTTATATGGTTTGCTAAAAGGATCTAAAGGTGTCCTACAGGAAACTAGTGGTCTCTGATGGTAACCATTAAGCCAATTCCCATTTCAAAGTAAAACTATCATGTTTTAATCCTAATGGTTCTAATGGTCCTTTTTTCAACAGGGATCACATAACAGATACTGCAATTGGCATTGCAGTCATTTTGATCTTTTATTCAACATATTAATGAAAATCTAACCTTTATTTGAAGTACAACGATTGAAAGAAAAAACAAAATCTTATTGTGAAATAAATGTTTTTCTCAAAACTGTGTGCCACAAATATTGGCAGCCCTTTATTTAATACTTTATACCGCCTTCCTTTGCAAAGATAACGCTTAAATGAGACTGGAGAACACAGGTAAATGATCTGAGACCATTCCTCCATACAGAACCTCTTCTGAAGTGCACACTATGGACTCTCCTCTTCAAGTCAAGTCAAGTCAAGAGGCTTTTATTGTCATTCCATCTATGTACACGTACACAGTGGAGCGAAATTACGTTCCTCCAGGAACAAGGTTCAACAAGAAACAAAAAGTACAAAATTACAAAGTGTGAATGTGCAGACAGTGCGCAAACAAAAATTAAACTAGAAACAAAACAATAAATACGATAAATTAAACAGACATTAGACACAGTAAACAGACCGGACAGTGTAGCACCGACACAGCACAGATTTCTGGACATGAGGTAGTGGAATAAGGTGCAGACATATTTAACATGATGTGATCTGTAAGTTACGTCAGATAACATAGATATACACAGCAGTTACTGAGGTAGTAAAACAGTTCAGCTCATCCCACAGG